CTTGTTGTTTTTCAGGGAAGTTTAATTAAGAAAATCTTAATAAAGGGAATATTTAAAAAAAGATTTGTGGCCCAACCCACATTGGTGCCTAAGAAACTTCATGATATATTTCTCCTAAGGGCCTGGATATTCGCCAACTTGAGATTTGTTAGACATATGTATTTTCTCCTAAGGGTCTGGATATTCGCCAAGTTAGAGATTTGTGAGACATATTTATTTCTCCTAAGGTGCTAGATATTCACCAAAGTGGAGATTTGTTAGACATATGTATTTTTTTCTAAGGGATTGGATATTTGCTAAGGTGGAGATTTGTTGGGCATATGTATTTCTCGTAAGGGGCTAAGTATTGACTAAGGTAGAGATTTGTTATGTATGGCTCATAAGACCAGAATTTTGAGTCTCTTGAAATTAAGAGATGTCTCTTGGAATTGAAGAGAAGTGTCTCTTAGAATTTAATAGGTTGGGGGGAGTGAGGGCACAGCGGAAGCATGGTAGCCCAACCCACATTTGTGCATAAGAAACTTCATGATATATTTCTTCTAAGAGGTTGGATATTCGTCAAGGTGGAGATTTGTTGGGTATATGCATTTCTTTTAAATGAGCTGGATATTCGTCAAGCTGGAGATTTGTTAGATTTGACTCATATACCATAAATGAGACAGATGCTGGAGCAGAAGGAACGGAGCGAAAGGATCCGTCCAATCGGTGGAGTTTCATTATGTGGGTTGGGGTGCGAGAGCAACACCCTGCGGTTTGGTACAGGGGTAATTTAAGTAATTACATATTGTACTATAAGGTTATATATATGTCATGTTTGTAACCCTTGGTGAGTCTCTGAGTCCCTGAGATTCTGAATCTTGTCTTCTGTACTCTTTTCTGAATATTGAGAAGAAAGTCGTTGCTCTGCTCTCAAGGATGTAGGCATCTTTGTCGAACCTCATAAATCTCTGTGTGTTCTTCTGGATTTGTGTTGATTCATATTTTTTCTCGCCCTAATTTCTCAACAAAAGTGTTATACTTGATTCATTACAATTTGTAAAAATTTCTTATTTATGTAGATAAAAATTTGTACTTCTCGACATAGATGAAATATTCAATGCACATTCAATGTTCGATTTTGATGAACCTAAGAGGGAGCTTTAACATTACGAGAGAGGAGTCGGCTTTGATTATGAGGTAAAATTTGGGCTATACCTATATTTATAATTTTATACTTCTTATGTCTTGTTTGTCCTCATATCACGTTGAGTTTAGTCGATGCGATGTCGAGACGTATCTCAGACATATTCGGGCCAAAAAAAAAAAAATTTAAACATAGATCTTGTAATGCAGGACAAGTATCAAGGCATGTTAGCCAAGTATCATTGTCATATAGGAGGGTCACTTTTATTAAATATGTTAATTAAACCTTGATGCATGCAAGAAGATTGGCGGGGGTAGAGCAATAAATTATCATCTTAGTTTTGCTTGAAAATTCAACACACAGTCGGAAGAGAGAAAACAACCAGTAGAGACGCCATAAGTTTTTAAGTGGAAAACCAGTAAAGAGAAAAAACACAGGTCCTGACACAGTTAAAGAGATCCACTATAAGTTGATGATTAAACACCCCCTGTCCTACAATTAGGAAAGGGTTATAAAGTTTTACAAATTACAATGTCGATACATGAACGATCTTGCAGTTAAGAAGAGGCGACGACTGATAGTGATTGACGACGGCTGACAAGTGGTGGTCGACGGTGGACAACAGTGGTCAATGCTGGCAGGAATGATGGTGTACTTCAATTCCTTGTTAAAGCTTTAACCTCTTCATTTGGCCTCAAACTCTCTCCCTCTCTTAAGAGAGTGGTGGAGTTCTATTTATAGAGTCTTGACTGTAATTAATAATGAAATATTAACTACTTTGATCTTAAGAGAGCTTCTTTTGATTAAACAACGTTTGATAGACATTTGAATGTTTTAACAATGTCAGGATTGAGAGAACTTAGGCTCATTGAACTCGTCCTATCGAGTCGCTCGCTAGATTCTGCATTTGTCTGACCTTCCAAACATGCTCAGAAAGCTTCCAAAGGCGGTTTAACGTCTTGATCAGGGCATGATTTGGTTCGGATTGGACCCATTTTGGTATTTTGTCCGTCCCGTCCAGCCGATTTAACTACAATTTTGTTTAAAGCATAACACTAAATGATTTTTAATTGAAGCTTGAATATTTTTCGCTCAAAATATTGTCTCGATCTATATGTCATGCTTCGATATTTGTGTCAAATGATGAAAATTTGTTGATGCGTATCAAACCTAATTCCTAATATCTCGGGGAACTTCCTCTAAAAGTAAAAACAATACTAATAATTAGTTTTAATCTCTTAAGGCATCAATATCAACAAAAATTAGATTAATCCAATCCATTGTTTTTTCTCATATATTTGTCTTAGATTTGAGAGTCAAAGTTTATTAAACTGTATGAAATACATACTCGGGTATTTAACATTTACAGAAATTTACATATATACCCTCACTATCAATTTGTGTTTCCATATCTATCACCTAAAATTTTGTTGCTTTTCAACAACCTAAACTTTTTGTCATGATTTTGTGTCAAAAAAATTAGGGTAATTTTGCAATTTCGCTATAATTAGGAACATTTACATGCATAACACTCAATTCTTATATATTTACATATCTAACATCTAAACTTCAATTTTTACATAACATACCCTTTTTCCTATGCATGGTAATATTTTTGTCGTGTGATATGAAGGATTTGGGTGGTATACACGTAAAAAATTGATGATTTGGTATAGGAGCTGTAAATATATAAGAATTTGAGAGGCATGCAAGTCATAAACTTCGTGGACCTCGTTAAATTTTCTTGTGTATTGATATACCTTTCTATTTCCGCTGAATCTGAAAATGCTCGAAATAAAACTGAAAGAATAGAACATCACCGAAAGAGGAGCGTTGAGAATTTTATGGCAAAAAAATCGCAAGAATCGACGCAAATCAAAAATAAAACACAGAGATTTAACGAGGTTCGGCAATTTGCCTGCTTTTCGGCTACGCTTGTTCGCTCTGCCTACTCCGGCATTTGTCTCTTATCTGGCATATGAGCTAACAAGAAGAAAAATAGAAAGTAAATTGTGTAAAAAATAAATAACTTATAAACTTTATTTGAAAATCGACCCCCCAATACCTATGTATTTACCAAATTAGACTTTAATAACTGGAAATATTTGCTAAGAAGTTATTGTAAATTTACAGTGAGAATATAATATATATATATATATATATATATATATATAGAGAG